TCATAAATTTAAACTTTTCATGTACATGGGATTTAACAACAACTACTACTTTCATGGTTGCATTTTTTTTTTCCCTACCAAATATTTGTGTTTATTTTATTTTTTAAAATTTTAAAATTTTATTCTTCTTTTAATTAAAAACTTGTACATTTTCTTTTGAAATCACTAAAATTAAAAGAATAAAAAAATCAAATAATTATCGGTAATAATAACACGAATAAGTGGACATTTTCTTTAATAAAGAAAATAAGGTTAGAGTACTTTAATCTTTTTGAATTAATAATAATTAGCAAACCCTAATCTTCTTCCTTTTTTTTTTTTTTTATCTCTAGCTTAATTAGTTAATGGGACCTCTCTCAATATCTCAACAATATATAAATTTAATTTATATTTAAATTACAATGATAAATTTTTATAATCATTGCCCTAAACTTTATGGGCCGTAAAGATGACCCGAAATTATGCCACGACAATGTCGGGCCCGTCTCAATTATTTTGGCCCATTAATGTGTGTTGCTCTAAGAATCTCAAATTTGGGCTTTCCATATGAATTCAAAAGGTACCTCGCAATACAAACACAGATCTTTGTGGGTTCAATTCCAAATCTTAAAAATACTTTTTTTTAATATATTTAAATAATTATAAGTCATATATACTCTAGGCTAAGCTAATTAAAAAATTCTTATGCGACCTTTTGAGCACCACCCCTTATCACACGTACCTTTATTTTAATTTAACGCACCATTTCAAAGTGGAGAATATGAACCTGACCTTTTCATCAACGACATATACTTTACTTGTTCAGCATCTAAATCATGGATAAAAATTTGTATAGAAATAGTATCATGAGATGAAATGAAATCCACGCGTAATAAATAATCCAATTTATCATGCATAATCTATCATTGAGGTATAATAATAATATAATATCACGAGAATAACAATAATAATAAAAGTTTACAGAGTAAAAACACATAATAGAAGAAAAACGTTTTGAGCGAGAAGAATTGGTCTATTATTAATTGAAGTTGAGGTAATTCAAGTGGAAAATGGAACAAATTCTATAGAATTGATTAAAAAAAGACGGAGAAAAATAATTAAAAAGAAGAAGAATATGATTCTAAGAAATTATATAATGCATTGTTTTCATGTAAAATAAACAATACTTTATCGATAAATAAATAAAAAAAATAAACCTTTTTAGTGATTTAACATTTACCTTTTCCATTTTTACTTTATTATACACCAATTATTGCATCCCTTTTATTTTTTTTTCAATATAATATCCTATTCACTTTATTATTATTATTATTATTAATTCAATTATAGTAATGCAATTGGCACTGAAAATAAATAGTAAGTTTTGGATTTTTATAATATTAAATACCCATTGTCTTTTAAAATATCGCATTCTCAAATTTATTTATTCTTCCTCAAATATAATATTTTTAATATATATTTTAAATTTTATGTTTCAAATATGTATAGAGAGGGGCCATGCACCATTCTCAGCTTTTGTCGGCACGTGCATACCTTACAACTACATATGGTCGAGTTAAATTATACAGCCCCTTGCTATCCAATCCTCCTCATTCACACACGTACAATGTACGCATTTATTTTATTTTTAGCACCATTTTTTTAATTAATATATTAAGAAGGATATATTCCAAAAATAATGTATACTTAAAATATTATATCTCAGAGTAATAAAAAATATAATATACATTTAAAATTATTTATCCAAAAGTAAGTTTTTAGGAAAAAAAAAACATTGGTGGGTCCCACACAATCCAAGGACAAGCAATTAATTTTCCCTGGTTTTTCTGTTTTATTTCGAAATAATTATTTTAATATTTGATTTTTTCTTTGGGCGGGGAGCCATACCCAATATGCTCCATTATTTACTACTACTTGTTACGGACGAATATTTTCTTGGTATTTGAATTTTGCCTATACTTTATATTTAGCTTCCACAATAATTTTGAAACATACGAATCAAAATGGATATATAATATATATATATTGAAGTGCATGAATATGTTCAAAGCTTGTTTCTAACAAAAGTAGTATATATATAATATTGGTTTGAGTTTCTCAAAATGGCTATTTTTAATAAAGATAGTATTCCTCACTTATAAATCTATAAACTTTCACTAAATTAATCAACGTGGGACTTACTTCCAATAATCCTCAGTAAATTTACCATAAAATTGAAGACATATGGGTTAAATAGTAGGTATCATAATTAGAGGCGCCTTGTACGTGTGTTGTTGTTAATAATCATAAGTATAAGATTTAGGAGAGTTTTAATGTTGGAATTGGTGAAAAATATTAATAAAATAGAATTAAAAATTGGTATATTATTATATTGCAATTTGCAAGGTTAGAGAAAAGAGGGTATTTTTAAGGAGCAGAACATGTGATGTGCAGCAACAATGGGTGGATTCAGATGGACAATCATTTTCTTCAAGACCAAAAACAATACCCACTTAATAACTTTTTTCTTTTTCTAAATAATTAAATATATAAATACAAATATATTTCTAGTTAATACAAATATATTAGATTGAAAAGGGGGCCCACTTGTTTCTCTCTCTCAAATCCGTTAAACTAATTGATTAATTAATTAATTAACCAATTAAAACTTTACTCAAATCTGCATTAATTAAAAACGATTAATCCGTAAATCCCTAAATTATTCTTTTTTTTTTTCCTTAATTATTCTTTAATTTCCCCTTTGTCGCTTCCTCTGTTCCACGCCTATAAATAGCAACCATCTTCAACACCCAAAAAACCACACTGAGTAACAATGGAGATGGATTTCCCTGTTATCAACATGGAGAAGCTTAATGGCGACGAGAGAGGAGCTGTGATGGACCAAATCAACGACGCCTGTCAAAACTGGGGCTTCTTCGAGGTATGTTCTTATGAGATTACATGAATAAGCTTCTGGGGTTGATTTATTATTTGTTAATTATTTCATATAGTTGTTGAATCATGGGATATCGCACGAGCTGATGGACAAGGTGGAGAAGCTGACTAAGGAGCATTACAGGAAGCGTATGGAGCAGAGGTTCAAAGAAATGGTGGCTAGTAAGGGGCTGGATTCAGTGGAGAGTGAAAATAACGACACTGATTGGGAAAGCACCTTCTTTCTACGCCATCTTCCCAGTTCCAACATGTCCCAAATCCCCGATCTGGACCAGGATTACAGGGAGGTCATGAAGGAATTCGCTGTGGAATTGGAGAAGCTAGCAGAGCAAATTCTGGACTTGCTGTGTCAGAATCTTGGGCTTGAGAAAGGGTACTTGAAGAAGGCCTTTTACGGGTCCAAAGGCCCCAATTTTGGAAGTAAAATCAGCAATTACCCTCCCTGTCCAAAACCTGACCTTATTAAGGGTCTCAGAGCCCACACCGACGCTGGTGGCCTTATTCTCCTCTTCCAAGACCACAAAGTCAGTGGCCTTCAGCTGCTTAAAGACGGCAAATGGGTTGATGTCCCACCAATGCATCACTCCATTGTCATAAATTTAGGCGACCAGCTCGAAGTATGTGCACAAAAAATGTTGCTAATTTAGGCGTTATTTTTTTCTAATGATTTATTTGATATATATAGGTAATTACAAATGGAAAATACAAGAGTGTAATGCACAGAGTGATAGCGCAGACAGATGGGAACAGAATGTCGATTGCATCATTCTACAATCCAGGAGACGACGCTGTAATATACCCGGCGCCGGCGCTGGTGGAGGGAGAGGGAGATAAGGGCAAGCTTTACCCAAAATTTGTGTTCGATGATTACATGAAGCTGTACGTGGGGGTGAAGTTTGAGGCAAAAGAGCCGAGGTTTGAGGCCATGAAGGCTATGGAATCGACTAACCCAATTGCGACTGTTTGAGAACTCCATTTTCCAATAACCCATTAAGACTAGGCATTGAAATAGAAAGCTTTTTATTATATTATTACAAACAAAATTTAGTGGTACCATAGTGTCGATGTTTCGGTGTTGTGGAACAGGGCTTGAAGTTTTTTCTTTTAAGATATGATAGATGTTTGGGAGCCATGAAGGGTTTCAAGGTTAAATGTTTAAATAATGGATATGTGGACACTTTTCTACTTTGTGTCTTGGTTTCATACAAACTTCCTTGCATTATTATAAGTTTTAAAACCTGTTCTATTAGGGAGAGGTTTACTCACTTCTTCGATGAAAGTGAGATCTCACAATTCACTCTCTTGAGTACGGTGATTGACTCTGATACATTTGTAACAGTCAAAGCCTACCATTAGTCGATATTGTTCTTTTTAGGTTTAGGAATGGAATTCCACCAAAGTAGATAATGTTATGTGTATATAATTGAAAAGTAATGAATTTTAGAAGATTTGAAGTGAGAACAAAAACAAGGTAACAAAGCTCTCATGAACCTCGTACCTATCTCCTCCAATAATTTCTCTAACAAAATGGTATGGTAAGGTCAATAATTTGGCCTCTGTCCTACTACTTCACCATCATTTCCAAATTTAGTAATCAAATGGTGTTTTGGAAAGGGATTAAAAAATGCTCAATTATCTTCCTCTTTCTGTCACTCAAAATGTCACAAAATGAGATTCAATAAGATATACACATCATTCAGAGCATTGAATCAACCCCACATTTTTTCTTGTTCATGATCATCTCTTTGGCCGCGATGAACAGCGAGGTATACCCAAGGACGAGATATCAATCTCTAGATTTTGATTCCCGGATAATATCTCTCTACTTGTATAAATTTTCAGCCGGCCCAAACACTGTTCGAGAATCTTAGCAACGGATTTTGCTATTAATTCTGTGTATATTTCATTCTTTCTGATCTCTTCAAGAACACGTTACGACTTCTAAAATAATTTCTTCGTTAAATTATTTCCAGTTGGTAGATCTTGGTCTGGCTAGTTGGATTTGTCTGAGCTGAATCTGATGCTGAATTCGAGGAAGGAATCTGATCATCATAAGCCAATAAGAATTTATAAAGGAATTTCGATTCGCGTGGGATTCCCTTAGGATCTGAGTTTTATGTACATAATATAAACAGAGTCAAAAATAAAATACATGGAAGCAAAAGTGGCATATACATAATTCGTGGAACTCATTATCGCATCCTTGGGATGTTGTTTACTCGGAAACTTTAAGGTGAAACTATAGCATATCTACACGGGAACCACATCTGCATTCTGATTATCGTCACAGGTTATGATTAAACCTTCGACATAGGTTGGAAGGAGGCACCGAGCCCATTGACATCCTGTCGACACAGGCTCTGTTGATGGAACTACCATGAGCACGTTATCTTGGCGCTGAACGACCCCCATCACACTCACGGTGCTGCCTTCCTTGATGTACCTGAGAATGATGAAGAAGAAGTAATAAGGTTTGGTGAGGAGTAGCATGCTTGATCATGTTGTGTAGTGAATCGATTCGCACAGAAAATGGATGGGGATTTGGAAAAACAAGTGATGGTGTAGTACCCTTCTTTAAGGCGCATTACACGGTCGTCGCTTGAGAGTTTGCGATCGGCTAGCCAGCCTAGGAAGCTTGGAGACAAGTCTCGGTTTTCATTCGTGACATCGACAACGGTGGAGGGTTTGACAAATGGAGCAACCTTGGCCCCATAGCCTGCTTTCACCAATGCTCTTAAACCAGTTTGAAAGTCTGATATGTAAAAGTCAGCTACATATCTCTGTATGGAATGTGCAAAAAAGGCAACCCATTACAACTCATCATATACTCTGAAGATGCAGACAAGAATATGGTGTATGCATGCCGTATGAATCTATGTATGCAATTCGCTCATATCATAAAATGGTATCTAATCTATGTATTCGTCTGTTCAGAAGCATTTGCACTTAAACAAAAGATGAATCAATAGCCATCAAGTTGCGTAACAGCTCAAGGCCACTACTAGCAGATATTATCCTCTTTGAGTTTTCCTTTCTGGACTTCCTCTCAAGGTTTTAATATGCATCTACTAGGGAGAGGTTTCCACGACCTTATAAGGAATGCTTCGTTCCCCACTCCAAGTATTTAGAACAAAATGGTAGGAAGAGAACTGACCTCAGAATATCTAGATCCCCAAGAAAAGCAGCGGTGTTTAGGATTTGCAGGCTTTCCACCCCATCCTTTATATTCATACAGTTCAGTAGACACGTAAACGCACCTCGGTACTCTCTGGTAGGACGACTCGAGAGGAATACTGCCGCACGTGACGACCTAAAAGAGAAGGAATGCATATAATACTCAATATCTGAAGAAAAAGAACGGTATACAAAAGTGACCGAGTGAGATGAATGACACATCCAAATTCCCAAATTGGGTGAGAAGAGAACACAATTGAGAAAAATTGTGACAAAAAAACCACAATCATCAAATGATTTTCCTTCCATTTGAAGTCAAACACGACAAACTGTTTATCAATATCTAAGAAGATTTTAGCCTTTTCAGGTCATTACCTCCAAATCATTGACTAAAAAAAGTAAATTTGATCGACATGAGAGCCCAGAATTGGGTAGCTGTCTTTCCAATTGGTAAGCAACACGACAAAGGGAGAGAAGCCAGGAAACCACCTACCTATTATGATATTTACATAAAGAACTCTCTATATTCTACCTTACTATAACAGGCCATTCTATAAGTAGCACAAAAGTTCTAAAGAAGATATTAAGTTCTAAAGAAGATGAAGTTGCAGGTTCATAAGAGCATGTAAATGAATGCCTGAAGCTTATCTACTGATCTATACTGAATTTCAAAACATCTGTGAATGATTTGAAGTGACTTTTCCATTACCATTTTCATCAATAAGTCCCAATAATTTGCCGTCAAAGTCATCAGATGGTGACAAACAACCAGATATGGACTAAGAACACTATTTTAAACTAATCCTTTGAAATTGTACAAATATTTTGCCTATTGGGTAGCAGTGTATAGCTAGTTTGCCAGACAAATTTCAAAGAAGGGATTAATCAGTCAGCTAAATTTCAAGCTTTTCAGTACTTGCAGCAAATTCTACAAAACTTATCAAGAGTTTTGTTCAAGTATTGAAATAAGCTACCCGGTTCTTCAAACCTTCAAGAACAAGTTTATCTGAGAAGAACTGAGAAGAACAATGATGGAGTTTATAAAAAAAAAAACAAATACAGATTTCCAGGAGATCTAATAAAGAGGCCAAATTTGGATTCCTCGTCAAAGATCTATAATAATTTTGTTTTATTAAATCTATAATATTGTCAAACAGTCAGCATCGTATTGACTAATTCAATCCTATTGCGCAATATATATTGATTAGGATACAAATGCTCCATGATTAGGCATAAGACGTAGGATAGTTAAATCAATTGATGGCTCATTACTTTTAATTAAAAACTCCATTAAAATAATCTGAAAGCGAGCGAGACAGAGAGAGAGAGAGAGCAAAATTACCCCTGTGACCTTCACGTACTGTCCATCAATAGCGCCTCTGAGCTCAGCGTCCGGGTACCTTCTCACAAACCCTATCAACCCCCTTTTTCCCCAAGCGATGTTCCAAAGAATCGCAATCACTGCCGGAACCAAAAGCCCCCCCGCCGCCACCAAAATAATCGGCTTCTTCACCGCCACCATCAGAAACGCGCCAACCAACAAACCGGTGACTAAAACCACAAGAAAAGCCCACACCACTACCTTCGAAACCTTGAACCCTAATTTGACATCCTCGCTTAAGCTCGTGACCGCCGCCCCGTACATCGTCTTACCAAAAGACGTCGTCTGCTCCAGAGGGCCGGAGCGCCGTCCTCCGCCGCCGCCGCCGCTACTGGACGATCCAAGAGGACCGGATCCCAAAGGGCCGGAGGTTATGAGACCGGTTGGCGGGAGGGAAATCGGGCCGGATGATTTCTTGGAGATCGGACCGGAATTAGAGTGCTTAGTGACAGGTCCGGAATTAGGGCCGGATCGTACCGATCCACTGTTGTGCTGAGAAGAGGACGAAGGACGAGAGGATTTAGAAGGAGGATGGCCGGAAGTTGGGGAATCGACGAGATGGAGGTCAAACATTTTAGCAAGCTCCCCTGATTTCTTGACGTCTCCACCGGTGTAAGGGACAGCGCGTGAGCCCATTGTAGGGGGCCGCTCCTTGAGCTGCTCAGGGCGGCCGGAGACATAGAGACCGCCACTGAGCTGGTGAGATGGAATTCTAGAGCCCATTAATGGTTGGGAAAATGGGGAAGGAGAGAGTGAAGTGGAAGTGGAGGAAGAGAGTGAATGTTGGTTAGGAAGATGGAAGAGGTGAAGAAAAACACAGTGATGGAGTTAGAGCGGACGAGAAGGGGGGATAACGTAAAATGACGAAAATGGGTCTGCTGTGTTAAATAAATGCCATTTGAGTCCTGAAGATTCGGAAATTGGCGACTGTGGAGATGAGAAGTTGGTGAATGATGAAATGAAGCCGTCGAGCTGCTTAGATTCTGACGGTCGACTGTCCAGCCTCCGTTTGCTCTTTTTACCATTCTACCCTCTCCTCTTTTTAGATTATATGTCCGAAAATAAAAGACAATAATCATAATAATTAATAAATATAAACTACAAATTTAATCAAAACATTAAAAAATGTACTATGTTTTTGTCAATTATAATCATTATATTCCACTTTTAACGTTAGGCTTTAAGAGAAAATGAATGTTTTATTTTCATTATTTTTTTAACCTATTTTCCATTGCAACTTCAACGTGACATCACATTCAATAACCCCAACTTTATATTATATAATTATTATTTTACATTGTTAAAATTCTGCAAACATTAAAAATATATTCAATTTTCCTTTTTTTATGTAAAATTAAAATGGAATCTTAAAGCTTTATTTTGATTGGGCCCCCGATTTTAAAACCCGTCTCGTTGTGTTAATTCCAAATTGGGCCCAGTAGAGATCTTCCACGATTGTTTTCATCACATCCTCTGGATTTGGTTCAACGGTTCAGATCGTCCCACTTTTCCGAATTTAATATATATGAAAAAAGCTTAATTTCGCTGGACTTGTGTGGACCCTTGATTTTGCTAGTTGCGGATGTGGACGCTTCCTTATTCGATCCGACGGCCAGGATTTCGCCATCTTTGATCTGTGTAGTTAGGTGCATGCCACGCCAATTTATTCACTGATTGGAACGTCTAAACCGAACCCTATGCGTTTGAATATCGATTTGATATAATATTTTAATCTTCCTCTCCTATGTCCCAAAATCAGTTGTTTTTTTCTTTTGTACCGACCACCTCACCTGAGCTTTCATAGCTATAGCTTTGGTTTGGGGTTCCTCAAAATGCCTGGTACATAGTATTTCTTGTTTATAAACTTATGTTCATCTCCAAATTAGCCAATGTAGAGCTCTAAATTTGGCCTATTACACCGTCTTCCAAAATGTGCAAGGCTACACCACAAAAGCATTCTAAATTTGGCCCTTTTAAGAAACGAGTCAAACTCGTTGGGCCAAGTCCAACAAAATGGTTTGAAATATCGAAAACAATGGCATTTTATGAGATGACAATTATTTCAGTTTGCACTTAAAAAAGAGTAGGCTAAGACTCTTATGCGGCAGTAAGAACAGTGATGACTGTCACTCGTCAATCTATAATTACATGTCATCCATGACACTACATAATTGAAAGAGTACAACTAGGACACCAAGTAACCGAAACTCTCAACCCTATGCATTATTTTAATAGAGTAGAATCCATTCACAGGATTAGGCGAAGTGGATAAAATCAAATCACGGCCGTGACTAAGAACCACAGGATCTAATGTCCATTGCATTAAGCTACACACCACCATTGACTTTGGCTTCAGACTGGCCCCACGTGTGCCTGCCACTAGTAGACAAAATGAAAAAAGATTGGCCTCCGCATATATGCTCATCTTTTTTAAGCTAATCCATGGAGCCTTTGCCACTTCGCCCACTTCGCATTGATGATGGGAAACGAAACAGGAAGCACAGCAGCTGGATTCAGTTGAGAAAAGAACAAATAAAGTTCAACTTTTTAACAACGAGACGCCAAATCACGAGACGTCCCTGACCTATCCCTTGTCTTTCCACTGCCAAACGACCTAATCCTTCCCCTTTTCCCTCTTCCTTCTCCATCGGTTCAGTTCCCAGAAGCCATGAAATCCCAAGTTCTTTCTTTTCATCAACATTTGCATAACCATTCTCTCTGTGTTTTCTTCCATTGATTCCATAAATTCATGAAAACCCATATCCAATTTTCATTCTTCTTTAGAACCCATGTTTTTGAATCAGTTCATGCACTTCTTAAAATCAATTCATACGTTCAGAAGGAAGATTCCTTACGATTGTTTGTTTTGACGACATAAACAAGCCTACAAGCCTCTGTTTCGCGTAAATAATCTTCATGGCAACCTCATGTTTTGGTTCACTTTGGATTCGAAAATCAAAGAGCAAACCCTTATCAACACCTTCCTCATTGAAATCCCAGAAGAATTCCGAAATGGAAAATATGGAAAGAAGAAGATTTGATAGCTTGGAATCATGGTCGATGATCTTAGAGTCCGACAATGTCGAAACTTGGGAGACATCGAAAGAGGATCAGGAAGAATGGACCGCTGATCTATCTCAACTCTTCATCGGTAACAAATTCGCCTCCGGTGCTCACAGTCGAATATACCGTGGAATTTACAAACAGAGAGCCGTCGCTGTTAAGATGGTTAGAATCCCAAACCAAAACGAGGAAACCAGAGCCAAACTCGAGCAACAATTCAAGTCAGAAGTCGCCTTGCTTTCTCGTCTCTTTCATCCCAACATAGTTCAGGTAAATTTTCATCTTTCCATGGTTAATTCTTTTAATCAAAGTTAAATTCATGGTGGGTTCCTCTTCAGTTCATTGCAGCCAGTAAAAAGCCGCCGGTATACTGCATAATTACAGAGTATATGTCACAAGGTACTCTGAGGATGTATTTAAACAAGAAAGAGCCATATTCACTCTCAACAGAAACAATTCTAAGGTTAGCTCTTGACATATCAAGAGGAATGGAATACCTTCATTCCCAAGGAGTAATCCACAGAGACTTGAAATCAAACAACTTGCTCTTAAACGATGAAATGAGAGTAAAAGTAGCCGATTTCGGAACCTCCTGCCTCGAAACACAGTGCCGTGAATCGAAAGGAAACATGGGAACTTACCGATGGATGGCGCCGGAGATGATCAAGGAGAAGCCATATACACGCAAAGTTGATGTTTACAGCTTTGGGATTGTGCTGTGGGAGCTCACCACGGCTCTGCTTCCGTTTCAAGGGATGACCCCTGTTCAGGCTGCCTTTGCCGTCGCCGAGAAGGTACCAAATTTCTCTAAATTTAATCGCTGTTTAAATTTCTCTCAATGTCATAATTGAATTTGGCAGAATGAGAGGCCGCCGTTACCGGCGAGTTGTCAGCCGGCGCTAGCCCACCTGATAAAACGATGTTGGGCGGCGAATCCGTCGAAGCGGCCGGATTTCAGTGACATTGTGGTGGCTTTGGAGAAATACGACGAGTGTGTGAAAGAGGGTCTTCCGCTTGCACATCATAGAAGATTGGTAAACCGAAACGCCATTATTGAACGCTTCAAAGCTTGTACCTCAACCGCGTCTTCAATACCTGTACATGCCTGAGCCGCCATAGCTTCTTCCTAATTTGATTGGATATGAATTAACATTTTAAATATACATTTTCATATATTAAATAGATTTAGTATTTTCTTATTTCGTAATTGTTGAATTAAAAAAAAATTTATTGGAGTTGTTTATTTTAACCACATTTTAAGATAAATACGAATTTAGACATAAATGTTTATTAATTGATATTAAAGGAGTCAAAAAATGGCAAATTAAGAGAAAAGGGGAATAAAGTTTGTAGAATATAGAGAATTTATTAAACACAAAAAAAAGGAGAAAGAATAAAGGCAAGATTAAGTTTTTGGTTGTTAGAAGGGCATATCATCTTTCTAATTAAGATACAATATATTCCTTTCCTTTGGGACGTGCATTTGGTTTAATCAAGGAGTATTTTGAATATCATCCATCTTATTGTGTATTTATTTATTTTGGTATTTTCCGTTTCTTCGATGATATGATGGGTCAATCATTTGCTTCATTGGTTCGTCTCGACGTGATACGTGAATTGCACAATAGTGCTTCGCCACTACTGTAGCTGGCGAAAATAGCTTAATCGTAGAGCATAGTCTTGCCAAGGCTGAAGTTGAGAGTTCAAGTCTCTCCTTCCGCTCAAAGAATCGTCGTTTAGTGGTAACAAGTAGAGTGCCTAAGCACCCGTAGAAATAGGGGCGAGATGCACCCCTAGTATAGGGTTTCCCATCTCATTTCTACTATAAGTTTTGAGATATTTGGTCGAGTAAGCATTTGGATAATCAAGAATGCAAAGTGGCATACCCGAAAGTCCTAAGAAATGCATGGGAAAGAGGGTCGGATTAACCTCGAAAAAAGTGATCCAAAAATGGATTTGACCTAAAGTCTCAGGGCACGTCCTACAAATAAAGCAAAAATGGCTCCCACGTAAGGGGAGTGGATTGTGAGACCCCACATCGGCTGGAGGAGAACGAAACGTTCTTTACCCCGCATCGGTTGGAGGAGAACAAAACATTTTTTATAAGGGCGTGGAAACCATTGTTTTAAAATCTTGAGGAAAAGTCCAAAGAGTATATTATCTGCTAGCGACGGAGTTGAGTTGTTACTTGTGTCGTTAAACCATGTCTAGTTGATCAAATCGACCATTACTTATATTTAATGGATGGTGGGATTGATTCGACTGCAACTTCTTTCATTGTCATATGTGTTAAGTAATGGTGAGAGTGACATAAAGTTTAAAACTTTATGGAACTCAAGTGAAGGATACACTAATCATCCACCATAATTGCAAAATTTGGACACATGGGTGTGCTATGCCTTTGGAGAAAAAGATGTATCACGGACACTTTATGACACTAATTAAAACTCATAATAGCGATGGTTAAAGTGCTAAAACTACAAATAAGCATGCCTTAAGGGCCCCCTTTTAGGCACTCAATACCAATTTTACTATGCCCATCATACCTCTTCTTTATACACTTTTTTAATGCATTAAAAATAACCATTTTTGTTATTAATCACAAATCTTTTTATCTCAAACTTTTGAATTTCAAATTATAAGAAAGAGGAAATATTTAATAACATGAGAAGGATCATATCTACTTTCTTCTCATCGCTCCATTTCAATACCATTTTCTTCCTTCAAAAGAGAGTTAAAAAAAAAAAACAAAAAAAACCTTCACAATTTTCACATCGAAGAAATTTTCACAATTTTCAATTCCAATTAGCATTCTCGAGGTTAACTCTTATCAAATGTGATATCCTACGTTGGTTAGAGATGGAAACGAAACATTCGTTGTAAAAGTATGAAAACCTCTCTTTAATAGACACGTTTTAAAACCGGCGAGGCTTATGACGATACGTAACGAGCCAAAACGGATAATATTTGTTAGCGATGAGCTTGGGCGGTTACAAATGATATCATAGTTAGACACCATAGGAAGGTGGGGCTCTTAAGGGAGTGAATTGTGAGATCTCACATCTGTTATAGAGGGGAACGTTGGATGCAGGGCGATGTGTCACCAAGAACACTGGACTCCAAAAGAGGTTACAAATGGTATAAGAGTCAGACATTAGGCGCTGTGTCAACAAGAACATTGGACCCCAAGAGGTTGGATTTTGAGATCATACATATGTTAGAAGGAAAGGGGAACGATAAGGAGTGTATGAAAACTCTCCCTCCCTCATAGACGCAGGACGATGTTTCACTAAGAACAATGGACCCCAAAAGAGGTTACAAATGGTAGAAGAGTCAAACATTAGGAGCTGTGTCAACAAGAACACTGAACTCCAAGAGATTGGATTGTGAGATCACACATCTGTTCGAAAGAAACGAGAACGATAAGGAGTGTATGAAAACCTCTCCCTAATAAATGTAGGGTAGTGTGTAAGAGGACGTTGGCGTCCAAAGAGTGTGGCAGACACATTTAAAAACCGTGAAGGTTGGTAAGGCTGAAATATTTGAATATTTATTGCAATATTTGGGTCTACATCATTCCCCATTACTTGGTTGTTTGGTGGTGGACAGCCACTAAGAACCTTTCCAAATCCAACAATCCAAAAAACCCCAAAAACACTACCAAATGGATATCAATTTATGAGTTGCGAAGAGCATGCATGCACGATTTGCCAATCACTTGCATTCCATATTCTTTCTATATATGTACAGAGAAAGAGAAAGAGACAGAGACAGAGACAGAGGTGGGTCATACCTTGCATCGTTTTCCAGTTTTAAATGAAAATCATCAGAATCTCTGCAACTCCAACGCCAACAATGGTGCCCATCATCATCCCCACTACTCTCATCCATATTCTCAAATTTAACACAGAACAGAGCATCCACATATTATAGCATAATCATCATTCATTTTTTACACGAGGCAAGTAATTTACAGAGACCAGAGCAAACAAAAATCCACTAATTACCGATCACTCCAAATTCATTACCCCCAAGCACTCCAAATTTTCTCGCCCACAAAACTCACGAACCGACTTACCGATCCCCTTTCTTCTCCTTCTTCTTCTTGTCCATTCCCATCGCGGCTGCTCTCCTGCTGCACGGACTCCGATGCCTCCTTCATCTTCCCCTTCCCCACGCTTGATTCACCAGCAACCGATTCCTTATTTTTCTTCCGTTTTTCTTTCTTGAAATTCCTCTGTGTGGTTGCTGTGCCTTTGGATTTGGCTAATCCATCTTCGTAAGCTTCGATTATTTCATGAATAAGTTGCCGATTCGGCGAAGAGTCCCATCTCGCCCAGTATCGCCGATAGCACATGAAACAATCGCAGTCGAAAAGCGGAGCGTGGTCGACACCGACCTTTCCGGCGGTGGGTTTCCGACCGGACTTGCGAGTGCTAGATAAGTTGGAGAGAGAGGCGCTGGTGTTGGAACAGGAGATGAGATAAGCCAGGACTTCCTTGTCGTCGGCGGAAAGAGCCACGGTGAGGGTGAATATGGCGGCCGGCAAAAACGAAAGGAAGTCGGAAATTATCGGCGGCGATGGATGAACGGTGTTTTTACGGCAAAGCTTCTTCATGGAGGAATAAAAAGAGAGAAAAGAAAAAAAAAAAAAAAAAA